ACACACACACAACTCCTGCTAACCTTAGGCTTTCCCAGAGGGAGGGCAAAAGGGGCACTTATTTCCACCAGGAAAATAAGAAACATAATTCTTTCTTTATTCATTCAGCATATACATATGATTTTTTTATTCAATTCACAATTTCATACTACTTTGCCCTCCCCCTGGACGTTCTGGGGACGTCCATAGCTGCCCCCCCCCTAAATATCGCAGTATTAATTGCTTTAAAACATTTCTATTCTAAAACTGTTGTTCACGAAATTAACACTTTACTATGGCTATGTATATATATGTATATGTATATAATTTAGAGCTTAGACATGTGCTCTGGACTTGTTTATTTGTTATTGATGCTGTGTTCTTTCAGGGTGTGTACAACATATAATGATGTAAAGCGACTTGAATTGCTATGAGTTAAGAAATCGAAATAATTCGTGCGCTACGCGACTAATACAAAAACCAGAAGGTATAAGCTTTATTTTTTATGGAAGTTGCTGTGCAGTTGACTTAACTTTTTAAGATTGAGTTATTTTGATTGTGATAGTTGTGTATGTTTAATTATACATATGTATAAGTTATCAAGTAAAATTAAAAGTTATGGAATTTGAAGTTTGAAAATATTGTATTATATTCCACGTTAGGGAGGCATGAGCTTTTATTTTTAACTTAAGACTTATTGTTAAGTTTTATGAGAGTACGCCACCAATATATATAGTAATATTATTGTGAAGTTTACAAGTTGCAGTCCTATACTGTAGTGAGTATTAGTGTTTTACTATCTGTTAGTGGTCTATATAGTTTAGTGAAGTTTGAATTTCACCATGTTCGAAACTGAATACTCTCAAAATCAATACCCTTCATAAAATATTTCGTTTTCTTAATAACTTAAAATGTCACACTTCCTCTTATGTCAAATTCAGAGTGAGGAAGAACTTGGTGAAGAAGGGATATATAATATAGTCGTTATAAATGTTTTAAATACGTATATTTATGTTTCATGACCTGACTCACACGTGTAAGAAACAATGAAATAATACTACAAATGGTACAATCATAAGTTTGTGGTAGTAAATTTTAGTCAGGCTATATATCGACTGACTAAGCCAATAGGTTCCCACCCCTATGACCTGACCTTTCTCCAGTGTTGGGTGAGTGTTTAAATGGAAATCATATTTACATAAAAACTTGTAGAATAGTTTTCTTATATAAGTTAGGGTGATATTTGTGACTGCAATGGTAATTTCAATATATTTAAGAAAACGTTTGCCTTTGTTTAGCCTAAATTATGTAAAAATGTATTATGTTAGTGAATAACAATATTATTTTCTATTATAGTTAATTGTACAGCATGACACTTTTTGTTTTTGTACAAAATTTTTTTACTTCATTTAAGTAATGCAAATAATATATTTAAAAAACAACAACTTTGTGGTAGCTTTTATACTGACATATATTACAAATTTTTCCTTTACATATTAAATTCAATGCCACAATGATTTATAGTGCAATAAGATCTTATAAATTATGTATTTATTTGAGAAATAAGTTTTTGTTCATTATAGATGTTGCACACTTAAGTTCATTAGATCTTTGTAATGAGAGACCCGCTTCTTTAGCTCCCCAGTGGCACAGCGATAAGTCTGCAGACTTGTAATGCTAGGAACTGGGTTTTGATGCTAATGATTTATCTGAAGGAATATTTACCTCTTTTGACTCATAAACAGTATAATTTAACATATAAGCATGGGGCTATTTGGATTTCAAGGCTGTCATTGCACACCCTTCCTTGAGAAAAAAGTAAAAAAACTTAAATGAACCTTTTATTTCCAGGAAATTATGAATTTCCCAGTGGAACTCTTGTAAAGTGCTTGTCTCCACTATTGCCAACAGTCACTTGCTCAATAAGCTACTCGTTCTATTAGAAACAATACAACTGTCTTTACTAGAAGTTAATCTGTCTTTAATACAACGTAAGTATTCTTCCAACATTCTAATTTATCCAAATCATTCTGTAGTACCTCAGTATCTTCAATACAGCTAGAAATAGTTTAATGTCATATCCAAACTTTACTAGTTCTGCCTTCATCAATATCATTATATATATAAAAAAGTGCACATACCAAAACACTGAACATTTACCTACACCACTAGTAACAAAAGTCTAGTTTTATGGACTCCATTAATAACAACTTTTTGCTTCCTGTCACCCATCCCCTTATAATCCAATCAACTAATCATTCCCCAATGCACATCTATGTGATTTGTTTAGCTAATCTTCTGTGTAAAGCTTCATATCTAAAGTCTTTAGAAAAATCTAAGTACACACACTTTCCATCATCCATATAACAAGAAACATCTTCAAAAAAAGTTAACAATTTAGCAAGTCAAGATTTTCCTTTAGTGAATCCGTGTTGGCTTTCGTTTATGATATCATATGTCACTAAATGATTTTGTGAAGCTTCTTTTCTGAGACTTTAGAATTTTCCTCAACACAGAGTAAGACTAACTGGCCTATAATTTTTAGGGAAACTTATCATCTCCTATAAAGATGGGAGTAAAATTAGCAATTGTTCATCCCATAGCTCACTATCTACTGAAATGCCAAAAGTGAGAGAGAAAAAAGTTTGCACATCTGATATTTGACCTTATTTAAAACTTTAGGGAAAATAATAAAACATTGCTATCATTATCCTTTAGAGTAGAACCCCATTTTAAAATTCTACTTAATTTAATAAACTTAAACAACTTCTTGCTGTTGGTTTTAACATTAACAGCAAGTTGCATTTGAAACCTTTTTGTCATTTCCTAATTTATATATTGTAACCAGATTTCAAAATTTCCCAAAGTTCTTTAAATCTTCCATACTGTGGTCAATTGAACTTTTTAAACTTTTTTTTATGTCGTATTTTCTCCTCCATGTTTTTAATAAGCTTAATTTTGATCATCCCTGTTATTTTCTCTGTGAATATGCCTAGCTTGAATTAAAAGATTTGTAAAAACTTTCACAAATCTGTCACACTTCACCTTTAAATTCATTATCCCAATTCCATAATGATAAATTATGTCTCATCTCCTGAAAATTGCCTTTCTGAAATTAGGAACTAAAATTTCCTATTTATTTATTTTGCACTGCAGCAAAACATCAAACATAATGATGCAATGATTACTTTCTTCGAAAATGTTTCCAACTTCAATTCTTTAACCACATTCACATTAGTGGTTAATAGTAACTAAAATTTCATCCCCTCTGGTTGGTTCCCTGACCAGTTGGTACTGAAAACTATTCTAAATCATTTCAAGAAATCTTTTTTTCCTTCATTATCTGACCCAATACAATTCCAGTCATTTTGTTAAAAGTTAGTCTCATATGATTATTGCATCATTATTTTTAGTAGTAACAATTATACAGTTTCTCACTGACAACAAATGTCTGATCAGGAGTAACAATTATACAGTTTCTCACTGACAACATGTATCTGATCAGGAGTAACAATTATACAGTTTCTCACTGACAACATGTATCTGATCAGGAGTAACAATTATACAGTTTCTCACTGACAACATGTATCTGATCA